TTAATATATGCATTAATTCTAATTTGGTTCGAATATATGTATAATCGGCAAACTGAGATCGCTGACGGCTCGCATCTATTTGCATTGAATCGAAAATGTATATGAATATAATTTGTATATTGTTGATGTCATCTCGATAAGCGGTTATTATCGTCGTACACACTTCAGTCTTTATCTAAGTCTTTATCTAAGCGATGTACAACTTTTTATATAGGAAACTATACATTTTTTTATCTACTTGTCCTTTTGAGAAAACTAGCACACGGGGAGAGACATTTATTTTCCCATGCAATAAATGTTTTTTTTATATATATCATAAAAACAACAAACAAATAAAAACCTTTTAAAAATATTTTTGAAAATTCATTTAATTTCGCGCGCGTTCATGAATTATTATTTCAAATATAAAACAAAGCAAAAGTAAAGAAAAATTTTATTGATTCTATTTGTTATTTTTTTTTATACTTTTATTTATTTATTAATTTACTTATTCTAGAGAAAAGTTTCTCAAAATATATACGACATATGATTGTTATCACATAATATGATAAAATGATTTGAAAGGATTACGTAATTAATAATTTGAAAGAAAAATTCGAAATAAATGAATTGGGTTTACGGCTCAATTTTTTAATTAGTTGATTAACTTGTAGTTTTAGATTTAACTTTATTTGATAGTAATGTAAAAATTGTGTTTTTTAACTATGATTAATCACTAATGGTTTTATAGTGGTAACTTTAAATATTATTCACTACAAAATAATCATTAAATTTACTGATTAATTACAGAAAATACAATTTTATATTATCTTAAAAAAAGTAATATATTACTCATTGATATGACGTAGCAAGTAGGATTGTGTTGAAATAGATCTCCTCCTTTTCGCAGATTCGCTCGTTGCATTCATAAAAACACAATTAATTATGATCGTGCATATTGATCCATAATGATAGAATAATTTCTCGCATTTTGCACGGCACTCCCGGATATTAACCGCATGCGACATTATTTTACATTGCGGTGAAATCCAATCGAAACGTGATTGTAAAAACAACGCGAAAAAAGACCAATAAAATTCACGCGACACGTGTGACATAAAATTAACACAACAAATGATATTTTTCTATTTCGAGATATTTAATATATGTATATTTTACGCTCTTTATTTAAAAGTATTATAACGAACAAATTGCATTTAAATACGTGAAAAATTCGAAGCTCGATGCAAATTATTCATTCTAATGTAAATATCTTGTAGCAATTATTTTCGTCCATGCATGTATAAATATTGCAGTAAAACGATACTCTATATAATGCCTATATGTATGTGTGTGTGCCTATCTGCTTTTATAATTTTTAAGTAAGACGAATAAATTGCGTGTAAAATATTTTGATAAAACTACTCACGAAGTTTACAATCGTTCATTACAGGAGTCAATTAATTGCATCGATTGATAGTCGAGCTAATTCGAGTTCGTTGGAAATAAACGTGTTTGGTTCCTTCTCGTATTTGCGATCGCATTTCGATGAGAATGACACGTGGAGCGGCTCGCTGCTATCTGTCGACTCAACGCGTGAAGAATAACATTACAGTGCGAACAATACACTATATCAACTTTGTGGCCGAAGCCGCATGCTAAATAGTTATTACTATGAATTATGTATCGTGGGGTTCGGTCAAAGTCTCACTATCAATGCAAACATTTGATTAACCGCAACCAGAGAATGAATTTTATAATATATCTACTTATTGTAAGAAGAAAGAATTTTATTAATTGACTAATCTCTCTCAAAAATTACTTTATTTGACGAATCATGTACCTATTTGTTATTTCTACAGCAATATAACTATACATTGAATATTATTACATTTCGAATTAATTATTATCAAACGTTCGATATCATTGCTTCCCACAATAACAGTGATTCAAACGTTTCCCTAGATAAAGAACGATAATAAATTATATTTCACAACATTTAAAGCACGTTACATGATATATTTGAAATAATTTCTCGGACATTATAACATGTAATTCTGATTTTCTATTGATTTTCAGTTCAAATAAATAAATGTGAAATATCCGTTTTGATAAACATCGTTTTAACGCGTACGAATCGCAAAAGCTGATTAACCGTGCAGATTAATTTTTTATTACGAGAATTACTATTTCAAATGTAACAAAATGCAAAACGATTTATATCACTATTTACTCGAGTCTTATCGTAATACGAACATGAAAATAGCTCTGTTCTCTATAAATTATAAATTATCACATTTTCTGCACTCTCTTCAAATGAAGTAAATACAAAAATAAAATAAGTACGTAATTAAAAATTGGATAAAAAACAAACAAGAACGGTCCAACAAATTCTGTGAAAAACAAACCTAAAGCTGGCATACACTTAGCGAATAAACATCAAACGAATAACGAACACAAATGTTCGGACATTTATGTTTGTATTCGTAAGTCGTTTGTTCTTATTCTTGATTGCACAGAATGCTTCGATTTGATTCGATTGAATTCAATGGTTTAGTATAGCATATAACAGCAACCGCACATACATATAGTTAATAGTAGTTGATCGAACTTTATGCAACATCAGTAAATAACGAATTTTTGCATTCGCCGCGGTAGCCGTTTGGTGTCTGCAGTTTATAGATATCGCGGTCTTTGTGTACGAAGCTGCATATTTTTACAACATTATATGACCTTTCGCCAAATAATTATCACGAAATATTTAATATTACTTCTACAAAATAACGTTAAGTATTAAATATATTGAATTTACAGATAGGAAGATTACGCATACAAATGTATTTTCGTAAAATGTGATTACATTAAATGTATTTCTAAACTCTTTTGCGTTTCTCAAAACGATATGAAATATTTATATTACACACTTTTATTTTAATGCTTATAATGTTTATTGTAGCATACTGAGTTAAATTATTTTTATCAACACATCTATGACGAAATCGCAAGTACTTATCGCTTTTGAAAGCAGCAGCTGCATCTAATGGCAGCAATTAAATATAGGTAATTATGCAAGCGAGTCACTTTCGTTCTAATATCGAAGATAAATTGTTTGATTGTTATGAACGACCATTCTTGTCTAGAACACGATCGATGTTTACTAGATTATTTGATATCAAATATCTTTAAATAATAAAAAATAGTAGGTAATGATTATAATGTACTTTAAATAATAGATTCTGATTTTTTTATTTCAATGCAAATTATTATCAATTGTGCTATTCTTTCAAATTATCATGAACACCTATATTTTTTTGTAAATATTCAAATTTTCAATATTTTTTTATTTATTATCTTTTATTTAATTGAAAATAACACATAAATTCGATGAATATATATAATTAGGAAAATTAGTTTAAATTTTTATAAATGTATTCCTCGTGTTGAATTTTTTATGATATTATGGTGATTTATTTTTATCTCTTCGTATTTTGCTTTTCCAGTTTAATCTCGCGAAGTTAAATTCCGTAAAACACGACATTCTTCTTCAACCTACGATTTCCAGAGTCTGAAAATGGAAGGGAATTCCGGGATGTTGCGGTTTTCAGGGAACCGCCTACTACTTCTCCGTCATGTCATGCTGTGCTGCAAATAATTCGCGAATCACGTTCGATCCACAAGGCGCGCATTGTCGATTTTTCCGAAAGATGCGGTGTTTTCTCGCACGACACACAGGACGATGCGCGGCACGTTGCCAAAAACGTGGCAATTCCGGTGTAGGTGTACACGCGCGCCTGCTCGGCATTCTCGATTTTTCAGTTGTTGGGCGGAAGGCCACGAGGTCGTATAACGTTCGTTAACCATTCGTGAAATATTTCTTGTGAAAAAATAGATCTACCTGTTCCACTTTCGTGTCGTTGATTCGTGTTATATTGAATTAGCAGCGATGCGTAATTAGAAATCGAAATTGGTATAACTTTGGTGACCTCGATTTTATACATACTTGACATGGAAAGTTTATACTTTGCAATAGAAATCTTTTTTTCGAAGGTACAAGCTTACATTAAATGAAAAATAAATTAAAATTTTTTATATATTTAATAATTATAAATAATTAATTAATAATAAATAATGTAATTTATGTATCTACATTAATGTCATGTTCAAAAGCTATTTCCTTATTTTTAAATTGATTTTAAGAAACTTTTTGCATAGTGGATAAATATTCTGGACATTTACGTCTACTCTTACTGTTAAAAATTAAACGTTAAAATGGTTAATTTAAATTATTGTGAAATCTTTTACTTTTCTCGTCGAATGAATATTTATATTAATATTATATTCATATTAAAATGATATATGTAAATTTAATTCTATTGTTTTCATCCTTTTATAACGGAATCAATTATTCACCTATAATTTTAATAATTCAAATAAATTTTTCTGTTCTTCTTGTAGAAATATAAATATTCATCCATTCCTCTCTCTCTCTCTCTCTCAATGATTCATAATCATTCGATATCTTCATACGCAAAAGAAACTAAAATTTCCTTAAAAAATAACTAGACATAATATACATACAGATTTGAAAATAATTTTACTTGAACCATTAAAATAATTTATGTAGAATGCTTAAATTGGTTGTTAGAATATTATACTTTTTTGCAGTGCTGTTAGCAACGCTTAAGTATTCCACATATCATTGTTTTATTGATCCAACAAAATTATCTTTAGATCCATATCTAGCTAAATTTTTAGATACTAATTAAAGAAAAACCGTTTTTTTCCTTATATGTTATATACAAACTCACCAAAGTTATACCGTTTTAATTTCTCTGTTTTGAATTTTCTTGATTTCGAATTTTTTACACTAGATCGGTTATTTGTAGGTATATAGAGCTTAAATAGGTATCCTAAGAGATCGATTGATCGTGTTGTCCGAAAAACCTGTAATATTTAGAAGTATTAAAGGGTGCAGGCTTATTGTCAGGTTGGTTGGCAATAGTCTGCCGTTCTTTGCTAACATGGCTCTGCGGGTGTTCCAGATCCAAGGTAAGTCGGCGCGTTCGACACGAGGCTTAAGCTACTTAACGCTAAAGGCACCTTGTGTTCGTAATACGCTCACGTAATGCAGGTAGTATATCGGAGATGCGACATGCTGTTAATATACGAGTTGACGTAATGCACGAGGAGGTTTTAAACGAATTAAAATTGTCGATGACAAGGAAGAAGCAGGTTCAACCAGACGACGAGTGTAATGTCGGTGTGCGTTTCGTTTCCATCACTCCGCTCTTTTTTGATTCCGTAACGATAAATCATAGCAATTTGTTACGTTCATCGAAGTGACTTCTTTCGAATGAGTTGCACGCAAAAGAGAAAGTTATTGCACGAATGTTCAGTAGTTTTGCGAAGGTGCATTAGAAAAGTTCCGTGATCGAGTGAGGGAACAGAAGAGATTTTCAGACGTTATTTTTGGCTATTTCGAAGTATGTATAATAGTTTATATTTCGATATAAAACATATTTTATCTATTAAAAATAGTTACTTAAGTTTCACAGAGCAAAACCTAGCATTTCAGCAACATTGCAGTAACATTGCAAACGTATGGTAATGTCACTGCAAGTTTCTATGTTGTATATTAAGAATCATTGCACTAAAAAAAGTGATATTTGCGACCATAATTATGCGATAAAATAATTATAATTAAGAGCTTTATTTTTATAATTATTACTATTAATTACGCGAGCGTAAAAATGCATTTTTTAACACGTCATTTTTTAATTATACCAAACATTTTTATGATAATGATATTTGTTTGTTAAAAAGGTATATAAAATTCTTGTGAGTCGTTTATCCATTAAGGATGGTTCTGTGAAAACCGAAATATTTGGAAATATTTATGTAAATTAAATTGTTAATAATAATCAATTTTGTACTGACAGCTTGCTAGATTCATTACCCTTTTATAAATACTATTTGTGAATTTATTCGTTTGAGCCGTTAAATACTATTAGTAATGATTATATTTATATGTGTGGAACTATAAATATAATTATTATTATAAAGAAAAACGGTCTAAATTAATATTGTAAAACAAATTGCGCAAACCAGATCTTACTGCTTTGACTCTTAAGTCTCGTTAACATATTTTTGTACTTTATATGATTAATTAAAGGGGTTACCATATCATAATTTTTAAGTATTAGAATTTATTTTTATTGTTGGTCTAAATCTCGATTTAGACCGTTTTTCTTTATACTTTGCATTGCAAAAAACGAGCGAAATCTAATAATTATTATTACTAACATTATAGCAATAATAATATAAAAATAGAGCTCATCTTAATTATTTTAATTATTATAATTATTTTGCTATACAGTTATAGTTACAAATATTAAATAGTTTCCTTTTAGTGCATGATGTTTCATATAATATATTAGAAAATGTGTGGATTTTAATTTAAAATTTAATCACCACACAAGTTCCATTTAACATTGCATATTAAAAATAAGAATCTGAATTTTTTGAATCAAGAAGCAATTGCAAATAGTTTTCTCAAAAAAAAAAAATATCGGTGTTAAATTTAATCAGTAAGCATCTTCCATTAAAAATAAAAAGTAAGGGTACCGGGATACATGTGGTTCTTCAATTTGAAAGGAGTGTGAAAGAGAAATTTTGTAATAACCCTTCTCTCCATTCTCTAGATTTCCCAATCATTACTCGTAGATTGCTTTCACTTTTGCGATTGACACAACAATAGCAGCCCACATCAATCATTGATACAAGTAGTGATGATTAATCATATATTAAAATTTCAGAGAGTGAGCTAGGCTTGCGTCGTGGTAGTTCCTTAAAGATCTCACGGACGGGCAACAATCATGTCGCGCAAGAACGCCTGACGAATACGAGATCTTCGCCGTCGTCGACGTTGCCGTTGTCAACGTCTTCTTCGACCGTGTCGACGGACAGATGCACAGGTGGCGGCGGAAACAACAAATCGTTCCGGTCCGTCAGGCGATACGTACCTGAAGCTGCGAGTGACGCACCTGCGCCGGAGTACCTCGCTAGAAGCCTCCTGCAACTTGGATGTCCTGCAGTGTCGATGCCCACGTAAGTCACGTTTCCGGCACTTTCCATCCTTTCTCTTCACGCTCGAAGCCATTATAGACATAATCTTCGTTGAATTCAATTTTCCGCGCGAAAGGCGTACAAGAGAAATATAGACTTCACTGACGTGAAGTCATGTTAATCATCTCATTGTCACGAATAAGTATAAAGGTGATCTTGGCACGTGTGGCAAGCGCGTCGGAATCTGAACTCATCGGAATTATATCGGCCCCGATCTCCCCGAGACGTGACTCAATTGAGTATTTACTCGGTCAAGGCGACGTTGTAAAAAGGAGTCGCATCGAATAGAACGGGATGTTGGGCGGATCGCGGTTTGAGGGTTCTGATTGCGCAATCCAGGTATGACGTAACACGGGAGACGTGAAAAAAAGATCTCGATCATGTCGGGATATATTTCCGCCCACGTTTAACCGGGAATGTAGCTAGAAGAATAGCCCGATTACCTTTTCCTCTCCCGTAACACTCCGACGCATTTGTCGGATATACATAATTGTATCTCGATAAAATATCGTTCTCACAAGATTTGTAACTCGGAGAGGCCATTGTATCGTAACTAGGAAATAAGATAAAAATATTCTTGCTGACTTTTTTTTTTTCGCGGTACGGTAGCGTATGCATTATAACGATGTTTGATTGTTGTGTGAACGGCACTTCGAGTTAGCCCTCGCAACGAACGCTTCGTGTTCCTGCCTACGATGTATGCATTATAACGATGTTTGATTGTTGTGTGAACGGCACTTCGAGTTAGCCCTCGCAACGAATGCTTCGTGTTCCTGCCTACGACCCTTCTTTGTCGGGAACGATGTCGACGAACTTCCGCGATCGTGTTTGGGAACGAACGAGCGAGTTGCGAACGGTCCCCTTCTTCAACGAGGAAGTCATTTTCACGCCGCAAGAGTCTCGTGAGACAATTAAATGTGGCTGTGCAGGTGCAGTGTCGATGCACTCCCGCTTGTCCTAATATAAAGGGACATGTAAAGAGATCAGAGGCGGTGATTGATGCGATCCTATACCTACAACACAGAGCATTCCAATAACATTCCAGTAATATTGCGACTAACTGCATATTGTTGGAACGTTGCAATGTTGCAGATGTTGCTGCAACATTGTTGGAACATTCTGTACTATACGGTAGAGATTCTTTAATCAAAGTCACAAAATAACGTCAAGATTGGATTAGCCATTTTTCAGCGAAAATTTATGAGCACTGGAAAAAGAATTTGGTTGTACTAGTTGGAATTCTGATTGAATATATGGGCCATTTAATTTGCTGAAAAATGGCGGAACTAATCAAAATTACGGATATTATTTCGTAATTCTAAACACGATTAAATATCCTATATAACAGAGTCTGTAGGCCACGAGATGGTAAAACATTTGATTAGTTTCTATCAACTCCAGTAAATTAGAATGAATAAAATAATATAAGTTAGAATGAAATAGGATATATAAAAAGAAAGTGTGTGTGTGTGTGTATATGTACATATATCCTTCTTTCTTTATTATGACAAAATTGCTCGTGGCCAGATTCTGTTATAGAATCTCTAGGTACAGTCAACGTAATGGTAAAGGATGCTTCCGATTTAGTGACACAAGTTGACATGAACGTTAACCTATTTTTCTTGGCTTTCAGAGAATAACAAAGATAGAACGACGTTTGTTTCACGAATTTTTGTGTCACCAAATGAAAAAAGCTCACAAAGCCTTTAAAGCATTTTTTGATTGGTCAGTTTATAAAATTTCTTCTTCTGATTGATCAAATCAAATGCTTTAAAGCATTCGCAGTGTGATTTTGACCGCGCCTTTTGATCAGAGAGCGCCTAATGTGACCATGATCTAATATATACTGTCAGTATTGAAATTCTACAGTATATATATATATACATAACATGAACTATAGACTTTCAGTACTGGCAGTATACATATATCGCAACGCCCTGTACGGAATGTAACAGCGACATTTATTATACCTCGTAACATCGCAAAATTAAATTCAACGAAGGCACAATTCTCCGGGATTTATTGCAATTGAATGTTAAAACGAAGACCAGTCTTTCAGAGCATATTACATAAATGTACTTATATAATACGAAGGCAATATATCTGTAGAAATTATATCCATAGCAAAAATATATGGATGTAAACATAATAGAAAAAAAAAAAAAAAACAGACGAGCGATAGAAAATATTGACATTACAAAGAGCGTTGTGGCGTAACAGGCGGATGAGTATACTCTGTAAAAAAGGAAAACAGGACTAAAGGATAACAGATCGACAAGGCACCTAAGACGCTAGAAAGAAAATGAAAGAGGGGAAGAAAATAGCGTGAAAGAACTTTTATTAAGAGATTGATCGCATGATGCTCTCTCGTAAGACTAAAAGGTGAAAGATGAAGATATATTATTGAATCTTCAAAACCACGCAACTACTTTCGGCACGTGGGGGGGGGGGGGGGGGAGAAATTTCACGTGGGGCAAAACTACCGAATGGCGAAAAACGAGTGAATAACAAATTCGCTGATTGACAATTACGAAGTCTCGAGATTGCGAATAGCAGTCGCGGATCAGCTGATGACCGCTATCGCGGTCACCGTGGCCGCTCGATGTGGAGACGTGAGAGCGAGAGCGAGCCTCAGGATTCACCTCGAAGCAACCGCTCCCGCGAATGCAACCAGCAGTGACCAGCACGCCATTCCCGTTGCTGGTGTGTGCACCACTATAGTAGCTATATAGCTATCACGATGATATTCGGTCAATAGGTAAGCTGCGCGGCGCAGACGCGGCGGTACCAGCCTGTCGCTCCCGTTCGCCTGTGTGTATAGCGCTCACATCATCGTATTCGTGCCGTGCCACACACGTACATTTGCGAAAACGTTCCCGAGACCCGGAGAGTGGAGCACGAGCGCGGACACGCTTCGCGCCGCATTGCTGTAATCCTCTTCTCGTCGTCAGAATACGTCCGGGATATCGAAGCGAAGAACGGCGGTGCGTTGTTCTCTTCTGTCAACGTCGTCGTCGCATCTTCTCTTCCATGGGGAGCGCGTAACATCTGTAGCACAATCTCCATCCTTCTCCCGGTCTTTGGTGACGTTGCTCTGCGGTGACAGCCAAAAGGATCAGCAAATAAGAGGAGCTCGAAGAAGACGCGAGATCGGGAATCTCGCAGAAGAGAAACGTCGACGGCTGTCGATGTTTTGAGAGGGATTTCTTTTTTTTATTTTTTTTTTTTGGAGAATACACAGTGAAAGAGAGGTGTTATCAGCTGATAAGGGAGAGTGTCACTTCCGGGGCCGCGCGGAAGATTCCGCCGCGGTCCTCGCGTTCGTCGTTAGCTTATCATCGGCGACACGTCGGCGAGGCGTGAAGCGGAAAGAGGATGCGGGAAGATTGGCATAATTGAAGCTGCGCTTCGCGTGGGGCAAGACCTAGTTCCAGCTCAGGAGGAGGCTTTGCATGTGTTCACTGCTGTGAGCAGCGATAACGTGGGACAGTGGCGCCTCTCTACTGGACTGCCAGCTACGATAGCACTCATCGCAGGTGCGACCGAAGGCCCGCGTGTCGACATCGAAAGTATCAATGTAGACAAATTGTCGTCCATCAACTGATTTCAGTCGGTCATTGAAATGCGATCATTATATATTCAGGATTATGTAATTATATTATGATTATAACTATGATTGTAATAAGTTATAGTTGTAATTGTAATAAATTGTAATTTGTTGCAATTGGCAATTTTCAATATTGTATTTTACAATTATAATTATAATTTGTTAAAATTATAGTTTTAATTGGGCAAGTTGCAAATTACAATTATAATTTGTTACTCTTCAAATCGATTGACACAAATCATCGCTTTAATTCATCCTTTAATCAAATATACTAGCATCTTAAGATAAAACATAAAGAAATTAAGGAACACATTATACACTTGAAACATTGTTGCAGAAATGCGATCTAATGGATTCCTAAAAAAAAATTTACGAGAAGATTAATCTTAAAACTAGGAATAAGTACTAAATTTAGGTTAACATCCTCAAGTTCTTGAAACAGCGTTTCGAAGCGGTCTATCGAACTGAACTACTCTTCAACTCTGGGATTATCTATTGTTATTATACCATCATTGCATAAGTCGACATTGTATCACAATGCTTGGCTTTTACTCTTTTCTTCGCAGTCATTTTGACATTTATTGTTCACGATTCTGCATGCGGCTTTAATCATGAAGGATCAATATTGATCCGCCAAGTCCTTGCCGGACTAAAAGGATCGCCGATCAAAGATCATGTCTTTGTTAGAACAGTATACATTAACAGATACGTTACAAAAAATGAAGGGTTAATTAAGGACGAACCAGTAAATATAAATATGAAGTGTTATTAGACTACCACTCGTTGATTGACAGACGTAGATATATAGTTGCATGGCTTCTACGTAGCGCAGCGATTTCATTTTGGATGGTTCACTATTCACGAGTAAAAAGGAGCTCATAAATAAGTTCTTTTTCAATGTAAATTTGTAGCGCGCAACGAATCAGTATTTCAATTATTAAATAAATTTTTTTTTCAGTGCTTCATGATTTATCTCGATAAAGAACCTACCATGAACAAGATATGGTTCGAGCGAGCGAACAATGTGTTTCGCGTGAATGCGAATGTTTTATGTGAAATTGGAGAAATCATCGCGTTTGCTTCTAAACGTTGTTTGTTCTGGACAGACTTTGTTCCGGACGTGACAAATGCTTTGCAGTTGACGACGAACGCATTTATTCTGTCATAAGCACTTTCGCTCGACGTGACGGATACGAGACAAACATGGTAGAGCAGTCTGATGATTCGCGGAATATTTACGTTTTGTTTCCCTTTCGTTCATTATCGCGTACACATATTGCTATTCTAGAAATATACTTCCGCAATATAATGCGGCTGCACTGGCGCAATGCCAGCGCGAGTTTAGGACAATCGATCCCGTAGTCTCGTGCTCTGCGAAATATATGACATAAGGATCTGGAAAATATCAAAGTAGAGTCAAAAGGAAAAAACAATACAAACCCACATTGTTAAAATATAAATCGAAGTCACGAGAGAGATGCAAAAACAGTAGACATTTAGTTATTTTTGAAGCTTGTCTTATATGGAATTAATACAAAAATAATTTCTTTCCTGGATAAAATTCTGTGCTATAAGATGACTATCAGAAAATTTATTTATTTTACTTGTTTTCTATAAACAATTGTTTTCTGAACAATGTTGCAAAAATCTAAAATTATTCTGATTAATTTTGTATTTACATTAAAGCTTGATTTCTCTTAATTGAAACTATTATATATTACAATTAAAATATTATTTTTACAATTTATTTGCCTTTCAATCTCGCATTTGCGATTTAATTATGATCCTGTAAGTGGCGATAAGTATTCTGAACACAATTTAAATACCGCTAATAAAAGAAGCCAAACGATTTGCTTGATAATCAGCAATTGCTCTAGTAACGTGCGCAAAGGGTATGCTTCACGGAGATAGGAATCTTTCCACGCTGCTCTCGTTGAAGCACATGTATTGTACTCTCTGTTCATGTGAGATAGAGTTGATTAACTCGCGGCTTGGTTAACTCAACCAGTTAATTTCTCGATCCGCATCGCAATGGGATTCGTCACGCTTCTGGCGACAGCTGATCGTGACGTTTGCCTCGAATATTTCCGATCTAGTTGTAAACTCGGAAATTTGCGCAGTCTAAATGTGTGCTCGACAAAATTATCAGTCACCCTATTTAATATTATTAGCTTATGTTTTATCTCTTTATCATTTTTTGATAGAAATTATTTTGTAACGAGAATAATATATATTACATACTTCGCAGAATAATTTTTACGATACTTTTTTTAACCGCATATGTTAAACACGTTATAGATATCTACAAAATGTGTGTTCTACAAACTTTTTCTAAAAAAGAAATTATATAAACTACACGAAAAAGATGGTTTTGTTGAAATATCTGAAAATTTAACTAAATAAGATCTGAAAATAATTATGAAGGACGTTCTAATTGATTGCTAGAATGTTTAAATTTTGTACTCGTCATAATCAAAACTCTTATATGATCCAACAAAATTATTTTTAAATATGTATTGATATAAATAGTTTAGATATTTAATGATAAATATTTAGACATTTTATGTAGTAAAATCGTTTTTCCCGTGTAGATATGTATGTATCAGAGATGCTCTATAAATCTTTGTTTTTAACTGGATCAATACACTGCTGGCAATATATCGTACGGTTACATATCGTATATCACGACGGTAATTCGGCGATTTAAAATCCACGTGTCCGTGCATTATAAACTGATTGTCACGAAACTTGGAAAATCGATTTCTCGGTGAAACGTGAGAGAACGGAATGTTTAATTGGCCTGATTGAATATCACTAGAAAGGTGCATTTCAGTTCGAGTGCGTGATATATTGCGTACTCTGGGTGGTGCGATACAAATTTCGTGGAACAGAAATTCGACGCAGAATCACGCGAGACACGTGCGATCGTACTTCACGGCGACGAAATAAAATCTATCTCTCGTTCATCTGTTCAATATCTGGTGATGACTCGTTTTATTGCAGACCCCGAGGCGGTGTCGGGTCGGAGCAACCGCCGAGCAGCGACAGCGATGACTATACAGCTACCCATCACCAACAAGGTGCGGGTGGTTATGGACAAAACTTGGATGGTTACACCGTGCCCAAAGTCAAGGTGTCGAGCCCATCAAACGCCAATGAATCCGCTTCCATCATCAATGGGTGAGTTTTATGAATAATATAAACAATTCAAAACTTACAGACCATAGCTGTTCTCATACTTTAATTGAATAAATTTATTAAAGGATTAAAAAGAAAAAATTCAAAAATTGGAAAAGGTACAGGGCACATGAGAGACGACGCGGAACTTAGTGCGCAAATTTTACAATATACAAAATTAATTGTAATTAAACATAAATTTTTATTCAACTTGCTTAGAATTCGAATATTTCGGCCACATTTGAGGCCATCAATGTTATTACAGATAGTTTAGAAGAATAGCTTCTCCTGCAATCTTGTGTAACAGGTCGAGTGATTGCTTTCGATAAAGAAAAAAAAAGCAGATAATAATTCTTCAATTTCTAAAAAATTTTTTTATAAAAGAAGGAAAGAGCTATACACCAAATAAGTGAAAAAGTATTAAACTGTACATTACATTATTTCTAAAATCAAAAGCGTTTATATTAACAAACGATTTAAATATAATTCAAAAATTAATTGCCATCAATTTCATGTCGAATATCAATACTGAATATAATTATTAAAAAATTAATTGTCATTAATTTGGCTATCGGTTGACTTTAATTAACGGTGGGAACGGTTCAGTTAGAAGTAAACGATCAGAGATGCTATTATTAATGTAATCATAAAAGTACCAAACGCATTAAGTTATTAGAATTGAGAAGATAACTTCGATGAATGGATATGTAAGATTAGATTCCCCTAACTGATTAAGCATTCTAAGAATATTTTGCGTATTTACTCATGTTTATTTTCTTCTAACGAATAAACGATTTTATGAATGAATAGCGTGTGAGCGATAGATGCATAAAGATTCTAATCGACACATAGAATGATAGAGTTCAGTATAAATATACATATCTAACATATCTCTTAACTTGCTGATTCTTATGCAACACTATTCAGTTTTTTACTAAGCAATATTTTAATAGTGTGCTAAAGACACGTAATAAAATTAATTTATAATTATATACAAATGAATTTATAATTATATTGATAGCATATATAAATTATTTTTAAAAAACAACAAATGAGAAATAATAATCAAGTGTTTTTCAGAAGTATACAGTTCAAATTTAATAATTTTTGAAAGATATAATTAATGTTTTTATTGAAAATCATACTTTTTTATATTAATAAAAATAAATAAATAAATAAATAAATAATAGCTAACCACCCTATCTTCATTATTAAGAATAGAAAAATTGCAAATAATTTATTACATTTTAATAGTAAGTATTTCATTAGAGAAGTAGTGTAATTCATTTAAGTTCGGTTTAGATTGATGAATATATCAGTACTATAATATATAGCAAGACCACTTAGCTGTCGCAACAAGTATTTGAGTTGATAACTTTTTCTTCTCATGCGTAATTTATACGTAACAACGCTTGGCACTTACCTTGTAGAGTAACGACTATGAGGTTCGCGACAAATGATAAACAAATGGTCGCCAGGTCTGATAAGCTTTGTTACTTTTGCGGCACTGTCAACAAAATTGTTCTCGTTCCCGTATTCTCGCATCGTTTAGTATTGCTGTGGCGTATTTATAACAGGACCGTGCATCGTGTTATCGCGCTATAATGATACGCCTCGTGATCCAGTGGTTGTCGTTGCCAAATAGTAGATAATTCTTCATCAACTTCTCATCATGCGCAAACGTAAATTGATAAGAAGAATTCTTGCCGCACGTATCTTCGACGACGAGACTTTGAATCGCGAGTGACAGAGTAGGAAGGAAGTGTCGAAGTTCTCTGCAAGATGTTAAGTGCCAGTCAAAATTTTGCACGACACATGAAACGGATCAGTGATTGAGTGGCGCTCGGATGAAAGATGACAAGGATCCGCGATATAAAATCCGAGTCGTCGATCCGACGACTCAGACTTCTTACTAATAATAAAGATAACATCTCGACGGCACTAAAAATTTCTCGGACTTGCAAGAATTGTTTGCTGGCGAATTACGAGATCGTGTTGCATCGGCTAAGAATTAAGAGATCCGCGCTATGCGACAAACAAATATCGTGTATGTGTCATGAAGAGGAGGCGTGTCTGAAAAAGCATGAAAGCACGTCGAAGTGGTAAGTATATATCATAATGTGTTTTGATATATCTGTGTGCGATATATTTACAGTCTCTAATTATGAAGAAAATAATATATTCGCGAGCTTATTATTTACCCTATGCCGTGTGGTTTTTTTAACGTAATTACTCGCATGGGACGTTTCTAACATCCCAACGTTATATTACAATTTTCATTGTCCTCTTTGATGATTTACAATTTATAAAAAGTTGATAATATTCTGCATATTCTTTAGATAAGAATATAAATGCAAATTTTTTTTAATATGCAAACAATTTACGCTAAATATATACTCACCTGCAAAAAAAATATAGGCCACTGTGTACCTATTTTTTTGCAGATGAATATATGTATATAATAATGTGTATAAATAGCATTTATATTATACATTCAGTGAGATTATAAAGCGGGGGTGTTGGATGCTTCACGCGAAAATAGAGTTAATAAAATTATTACACGAAATAAATTTAATTGTTAAAAATCTCTCATATATAAAAAAACACTTAAATTATAATAAATAACGTACACACGACAAATATTTTCTAGAATGTTCAAGAATTAATATAAATTACAATATAAATATATAATTCGAAATTAAATCTATATAATTTAGTATTTAGGAATGTGTGTGTTTCTCTTAAAAATATGAATTTTTGTTAACATTTATTGACATACAATACTGTTATTTATAATAGATATATTTTGTTATTACTGAATCTTGAAATAATTTTTAATTTAAGAAAGACTACAATTGAATCACACACATAGATTATTTTGCAAAAAGATTGATAAATATATGGATCGCGTTGATTATTTTAATGACGTGGTATGTTCAATGTATAGTTTCGGTCTTGTCGCTTTTATATAATTATTTTATTTTTTTCATTTTTAATTTTTATAATATGGAATGCGAGACAAAAATAATGGAAATAAAAAGATGTCGATTTTTAGAAACTGTTGTTTGTATATTTATTACAATCTTTGAAAATTATCATAAAATATCTGTATTCTCCTAAAAATAAAAATTATTATTTCTATAAATTTTTTATAAAAAATGTTTCTATAAAAAATCAATAAAATGTAGGGTAGTAGATTAATTTTGTATGAATTCTTCGCGACTAAAGATTTCTACAAAAAGCTTATCAACTTAACGATGTTTGTTTATATATATGATCGATGATAGATGTAGTTATATACTAGTCGAAATACTTTTTCGTGTAAATCGACTGATAAGAAATAGTGATTTTATCTTTCGATAAATTTTATAAAACGCGTGTTTTTTTTAGAAATTAAATAAATAAATAAAAATAGAGTCTGAACGTAAAATTTTATTTAAAGTGCTGCATAATAAAGATTTTAAAATTAACATCGTTATTACTTCAAATCGATAACCGATATTTAAATATTATACAATAAAAGTTGAATTAAATGTAATTTTCTGTGATAGAAATAATATTGCTATTTATCGAAAAACGTGATTATCTGACAATATTTTTTTATTGAATCATTTATAGAATTTACTATTCTGTCGTTCTCGCTGTTAAAAATTTTTTGTCAGTACGAAATGACGACTCGATTATAGGCGTAAAAATACAGCCATAATTAATCATAACGGTTGTATTAACCATTACAGTAGCGTCGGTTGATTCGATCGAACATGAGCATAACGTATGCATTAAAAGTTACTATAACAATCGATTCTAATGTCGCGAACTCTATGCGCAGTATAAATGTAGCCTAGAGATAGATGCGCTAAGCCATTACGCGCTGATCAATATGTTTCATGGCCCGTAAACAAAACTCCCGCGTTCGCCTACGTATTTTTAGAGCAATTTTTTCTCCATCGTTCAAGGGCAAGGTCCAAAAATAAATTATTAAAGAATTTCTTCGTACGCGTTCTTAGGCTTATTTGCACAGTCTCGACAGTCCTTTTCGCATTAGTCTGACAAAGAGTATAACAGACGACATGTTTGATTTAATGTTCCTCTTCGATTCCTAAATGGATAACGTATCTTTTCTTTGATTCGTACTTACAATAGTATTTTTGTTACAAAAAAAATTAGAAATCGTAAAAGATAAAAAAAAATAGAATTTGTAAGAAAGACGCAAGACAAACGTAATAAAAACTATTTTTTAACGATATAATTCTGACCTTGTAAAAATATAACTTAGGTCTCTATTTTGTAATTCTTAACGACAGTAACGATTGTCACAGGTTTTTTATCATATACAAAACCAGTGCAACGACAATGTAACGATATTATTACTGTCATTAGGAGTTATAGAATAGGAGCCACTTTTTACTCAGAAAAATGTCTGGTTGAAAATGGACGAACTAGAAGATTTATATTATATCAATCAAAATTTCAATGATCACATCTAGTAAATTAACCAGAAAAATTCTGATTTGTTCAAGCAGAATTTCAATTAATCCAACCAAACATTTTTCTCAGTGTGTTATTTTGTAATTGATAACGTTACAGAATCGCGTCCGATAATGTAAGAAGTCGCGTTATATCGAATGTGCATTGATAATAATTGATTTGAAAAGGAAGAAACGGAATTAGCATTCATAATTATTTTATAATACATATATGTTAAACGTTTTCCAACAGCGAGACTGACCGGCTGACGACCTTGACGTTTGTTTTGTTTCGACCTCGTACACAAGGCTGCCGCGTGCTGTATTGTCATTTGCACGGCAATATTCAAGCGAGCAGGTAATGCAAACCGCTCCGTCTGTTTTTATATTATCCATTGAAATTCGATTATTTTATACGAACAATTAGTTGTCGGCCCGCTCGTTTTAATTAACTTTTACGAATGTAAATATATCGGCTGTTTGTCAAAGTATCTGATGTGATCCAGTCATTTTATGTCGCAGATTGAAGTAATAGGA